CATCGTCACAAAATAAATAAATAAATACACACACACACACACACACACACACACACACACTTCAGAGAGGAAGAGAGGGGAATGGAAACATCAATGATGAGAGCAAATCATTGATTGGCTGCCTCCTGCAGCCCTCCTAGTGGGGATCAAGCCCGCAACCTGGGCATGTGCCCTGACCAGGAATCAAACCGTGACCTCCTGGTTCACAGGTTGATGCTCAGCCACTGAGCCACACTGGCCAGGCTCCTCAGGCTTTATCTCTGATGCTTGCCACCTCACGTGACATCCTGCGGTCTGTTTTCCTGCCACGTGCTTCCTAGGGACCAGCAGAGCCGACACTGAGCGTCACCTCCGCCGCCCTGCCATCCCCAGAGAAGCCAGGGTTCTTGGTCGCCTGGGCCACCAGCCCGTGGTTGACGAGCCAGGGGAGCCGACCTGACACGAGGGCTGGAGGCTGGTCTGAAGCCCCTCGCATCCACAGAACCGGCCTCCCACCCCGTCCTGAGTGGGCAGTCATGAGGGTCTCTCCCCTTAGCTTGGTGACCATTTATCCTCTAATTTTCCAGAGGTTCGTCCTGCAGTGGGACCAGACTGGGTGACCAGAGGCAGGTGGCCTGGGGCGGAGACACAGCCAGAGCCGTGGGGGTGCCACCGGGAGCACAGCAGTGGCCAGGCTGCCCTGGGCCTCACGTCCTGGAGGCAGGGGCCCCAGCGCGCTTCCTCCTGCCCGGCCAGCAGGCTTGCAGGCCCTGGGCTCCCGTGGAGAAACCTGGGCCAAGGCCTTCGGCCCCGGGTCCTGAGCGGAGGTTGGAGTTTGAGGATAGAGAGCCTGGCCTGAATTCAGGGAGAAAAACCCCTCCCCAAAACGGCGTGAGTGCTGCCTAATAAAGGCAGCCGCTGGACAGAGGGAAACAGCCCTTTGAAAAAAAGCCTTTCATTAGAAAAATAATGCATTTCATCCAAATAAGGTAAAAATATTTGGAATGGGGCAGAAGTGAGCAGCAGGCAGGCCTGTCAGGCCCTTTCTGGAAGGGAGAGATTATTACACTCAATCACGATGTATTTTCCTAAAGTGTCTTTCAGGAAAGCGCCCGTCCAGCGCGGGAGCGAGCAGGGAGGCTGCGGGCACCTCCCGGCCCAGGCCCCGCCGCCAGCCGTGCCCGGGTTTGCGATGCCCCGGCAGGCGGGTGCGTCCCGGGCCGCCCTGTGCAGTCGGCTGCTGGGAAGGGGAGCACTCTGACTAGGGAAGGGGTGCTGAATTTGTAGATTTTGTTTGTTCTGCTGTGGACGGCCATGTCCGATGTTTAAAGGGAACACAGTAAAACCTCTTCCACCCCGTGCAGTTTCCCAGGTACAGGTGTGCTCACGGGCTCACTCACTGTCTCTTCTCTAAATAAAAACGGGAAATTCCTCTTTAGTGTGTGTGGCTTGCTTGTCTCACTGAGAGTGAGCCCTGTGTCCGTGGGGACTCACACCAGGGGGAGCAGAGGGTCTCTAGAGGCTCCTGGCCCTCGGTGCCCAGCCAGGACGCAGGTGCTGGGCTTCGGGCCTGGGCCCAGCACCTCCTCTTCTCTGCTGATTGCCCAGCCCCAGCCCAGTACCCAGTCCCTGCCTTATCCCTGCCTCATCCCTGCCCCAGCCCAGTACCCAGTCCCTGCCTCATCCCTTCCCCAGCCCCTGCCCCTGTCCCAGCCCAGAACCCAGTCCCTGCCTCATCCCTGCCCCAGCCCAGCCCTGCCCGAGCCCAGTACCCAGTCCCTGCCTCATCCCTGCCCCAGCCCAGAACCCAGTCCCTGCCTCATCCCCAGCCCCAGCCTGTCCCTTCTCCAACCCCTTCCCTGCACCTGCCCCAGCCCAGAACCCAGTCCCTGCCTCAGCCCCAGCCCTGCCCTAGCCCAGAACCCAGTTCCTGCCCCAGACCCCAAGGAGGAAGAGCAGGCGGGAGACGTTTTCTGCAGGGCCTGACCAGCGCAGGTCCTTGGGAGTTTACTTAATCCTCAGTGTTTCTTGGCCTGTTTGTTTAAAATTGTTTCTGCCAAGGCTCCCAGAGAAGATGTTTGGAGGCTCTGGACAGAGCAGAGGTGCCCATGAAAGCTGCAGGTGGTGACCTCAGCCTCAGGTGGAGTGCTCACCTGGGGTGGACCTGAGTCCTGGCTGACCCCTTCCTGCCCCAGCCGCCTCTCCGGCCCCTGCTTTTCCTGCACAGGCGTTTCCCACCCCAGGACCCTCATCCCCTGCCAGGGCAGACAGTGCCAGGATGGGCGCCACCTTCCTGCATCAGCTGCCCCTCCCCCCCGCACTGCAGCCCCAGCCCGGGCTCTGGACTGCTGGGTGCCATTCCTGGGTCAGGACTAGTTTCCTCTCATCGAGCACTTAGTCGATGCCTTTCTATGGGAGAGATTTGATTTCGTACGGAGACGCCGAGCCTCTCCCTGCTCCCTGGCTGAAAGGCTCTTTACTGCGTCTTGGAAACGGTGGTGCCTGCTCCCCCCCACCCAGAGCCTGGGGAGTTGTTCCCAGGGGTCAGCAGAGCCAGACCGGCCGCGGGCCCTCGGAGGCTCCCAGGAGGGCCCAGGGGCTGGGAGTCAGGGCAGGGCCTGGGTTCTTTGGTGGGAAAAGGCTCTCGAGGCCGGGGTCCCCCGCAGGGGCCTGGGGTGCACGGTGCACAGCCATCTGCCCTGCGCTGGCTCCAGGCTCCTGCCTCCCAGGGTGGCACAGGCCTGGCCCCTATTCGTTCCCAGCAAGATCCCAGGACTGATGCCGCCTTGCTCCCTGGAGGCCTGACCCTGACCCTGGGCAGCAGCACTTTAGTCCCCCATCCCCTGGCCTTGGGCCAAGGCTACCTGTGGGGCCGGGGCCACCTCGCGTGAAGGTGGCTGGACTAGCTGACCTCGCCTGGGCTGGCTGGGCATGCTGGCTGGCCCCACGGCCAGGGAGGGGGCTGCCCTGTCTCTGCTGGTCCGGGTGGGCTGGGCAAGGCTCCGTGGGCGACTCAGCGGTTAGCAGCACCCAAGCCCTGCCAGGCCTGTGGGAGGTGGGCAGGCATCGAGCGCAGCCTGAGCCTGTGCAGCTGGGTCTGACTCTTTCCAAGAGGCTGCGGAAGTCTTGCATTTGCCCAGTTTGGGTGTAGAGCATCACACCACCACCGCTAATTAAATCCCAGAGTGAAAACATGTTTTACTGCATTTCCCACCGAGTCCAACAAGCCACAGGGAGTGTTGTGGGGCCTGCACCCACTCCGCACGCCTGGGGTGGGGCACCGTCCCAGCTGCAGGCCCCTCCCTCCTGGGGGTGGAGGGCACAGGCTCTGGGCACCAGCTCCTGGTGGGTGTGGTGGGCACTTCTGGTCTGGGGCAGTGCCTGGGAGTCAGCACAGTGGGCAGACCCTTGTCCCCTGAGACTTCTCTGAGGGGTGCCTGGGACCCAGTGCCCCTTCCCTGGGCGTGGCACAGGGCCCTGCCTTGTCCTGAGTCTCATTTGGAAGCTGGCCCTGCCTGTCCACTGTGTGGGGGTTTCCTGAGGTCCACCCGGGGCCCAGAAGGCCTGGGGCAACTGAGGAGGGGGCAGTTTGGGGGCATCTACCCTGAGTGCAGCTGAAGTTGGAGCCCCTGGGAGCTGCTCCCCCAAAGCCTTTGTGGGCCCCACCCCACCGCCCCCCATAGCAGCGCCCAGAGGGAGCCCTGTGGTCGCCCCACCCACCCAGCAGCGGAGGGCCAGGCTTGGCTCCTTGCCTTGCCTCGGGCCCCACGGGAAGGCTGCTTGGCCCACCAGGGCCCATGAAGCTCCAATAATGGTTTTAATTTGTTGAACTTGTGTTTTATCCCATAAATTAGTCACTGTTTTATTTAACAGAATCGAGATATCCACAAACAATAGGCGAGTTCCAACTTGAACATTTTAATAAGACAGAAAAAAGTATATATTTTCACGTCTGTTACAAACATATTTATGTAAATAGCCCGTGGGCTGCGCTCCAGAGGGAGAAAGGGAAGGGCCTGGGAGCTGGGCGGCGGGAAGGAGCTTCTGCGGTGGGGATGGCGCTGAGCTGGGTGCTGGGTGCTGGGTGCTGGGCACGCAGGGGCCCGGGGGCACGGGAGAAGCAGCCTGGTCCGAGGCGCCCCGCCAGGGGAGGACCGCGGCGGACTTCCCAGCCCTGTCCCCTCCTCAGGACAGCGGTGTGGTCCCTGCGGGAGTGGCACCCAGTGAGCTGTCCTCAGAGTGGAAGAAGGCGATGGGGGCCCTGGGAGGTCTGGCCCCCTGGAAGGAGGTCGGCTCAGGGCAAAGCTGGCGAGACCGTGCAGAGAATGAGGCTTCATGACGGGTCACCGTTCAGGAGTGTCAGGGTCAGCGAGGCGGGAGGCCTGCACTCTGGGCCAGGCCCCAGGGGAGTGCTCCCACTACCCGGGCTTCTGGGGGAGCCCCAGCCATGGTGCCACCAGGGCCTGGGGCGGGTGGCCACAGACCCGGGAGTTGGCCCCCTCTGGCTCTGCCCCCACGTGCTGCAGGCAGGAGCCGAGCCAGCATCCGGATCGGATCCGGGTACACGCCGTTCCCGGCCCAGGCAGGTCCCTGCAGGAAGGAGGAAGGAGCTGAGGGAGGAGGCAGATGGGTGACCCTGCCAAGCGCCTGCCCAGTAGCCGTGGCTGACAGAGGAGAGGGCTGCCTGGGTGGGGGGCCTGGGGAGCTCGTGGAGCCCGTGGGGTCTTGGCCGGAAGGTGGCTCTTGAGTCTCCTGTGGGGCCTTCAGGCAGGGCTGAGGGAGGCGGCCATCCTTCAGACCAGCCAAGCCCAAGCCCCCACCATCTGCCCCAGCCCCCTGGGGAACTTGGCCTGATCCCAGCAGCGAAAGGTCCTCCCCCTTCTCTCCCAGGGTTGAAGGGTCACCGACACCCCCTCCTCCCTGCCCGGCACACGCAGCTCAGCGGGCTGTGCCACCCTGCACGGATGGGTCACCGCCAGCTGCTTGGGGCTGATTTTAAAAATAAAAGATAACTTGATAGATTTTTTTTTCCAGTTTTTATTGAGTGAAAATGTCAAACCTTGCATCAGTCATGCAAAAAAAAAATCAAATAAATAAAACACATATATTAAATTTCTAATAGCACTAAATTCAAGTGGAAAAATATTCAGTTCTTAATAACCAGGTGCCGAGGAGACCAGATTCAAGTAATCAGAGCACACGCTGTTCAGTTCGGTTCTCACGTTCTGCATTTTTTGTCTCAAAACCTCTCTATATATCTCTATATATCTATATATGTATATACATATAGATATATACACACATATGTGCATACATATTATTTTATATTTATATATATACACATACATAGTTATAAAACATTAAAAAGAGCATTGGTGGATCAAGCATCGTTTTCCCCACAGAAAGAAAATAAAACAAAAATTACACATTAAAATTCAAAATGAGCTAGCAATGGCTTATAGTCCTAGTGTGCAATATGAAGGTTACAAAAGGCTAGACTTCGAACTGTCGGCGTCTTCTTTTTTCTTTTCTTTTTTTTTGTTTTGTTTGTTTTTGTTTGATTTTGCTACATTGAAAAATGTTTTGTTTTTGTTTTTTTTTCTTTACAAAACTTCCTCCACAGACTCCCGGGTCTGTGGCCGGGCACAGTCTGGGCGAGCGCTCAGCAGCACGTGGTGCCCACAGAATTCAGGAGGCTCTGGTGGGGCTGTTCTAGAAACGCGATGTTTCCCGGTGAATCAGGCACACTCCGTCTGACCGTCCTCCCTCCCCGCTCCCTCTCCAGTTCCGATGATCCTGGCTTCTGGCTGTGGGCAGGCCAGAGGACAAAACAGAAAAAAAGAAAGAAAGAGGACGCCACGGCTCCCAGTTGGGTGGGGCTCCCCTTGGAGACCTGTAGGGAGGTGGCTCTGGGTGACAGGCCTTCCCCCAGGCTGGGCCTTGCTCTCTTCCTGTGGCCGGAGTCTCGGCCACCGGAGACCAGCTGGGAGCCTGGAGTGGAGAGGAGGTGGACAGGAGGCCCGGTCGTGGGTCCCTGTTGCCCTCATAGCCACTGGCCGGGCCGGTGCCTGTCAGGCCGGCCGCTCGGGGCCTGGTGATACCATCTCCAGGAAGGAGGGATGTTTTGAAAAGGGAACCAGATCTGGGTGGGTAACACCAACAAAGAAGCATCCCAAACAAAATAATAAACTGGGAAAGAAAAAAAAAAAAGCCCTATAAAGCCACACACATAACCGATAGAGAAAAACTCAAATGTTAACTACAAACTTGTATCAATGGTAATAGTCCTTTTCTCTGGCCTCTAAAAAATTCAAGTGAAAAGTTGGAATCGAGTAGCTCCCGCCAGTGCTAGTGTAGAGACGGCCGCGGCCTTAGGCCTCGGGTACACGCCCAACAGCCCCAGGAGCCATCGCACTGTCTCCAACCTCAGGGCGGGCGGAGGTGGGGCGGCGCCCTCACCTCCCGCCGGCTTTTTTCTCTTTTTGTTCTATGTAGAATAATAACCTTGACAGGAAAAATACTGTACAACTTTCTTGCTTTTTTTTCCATTTTGAATATTAAAGCCCCAGTCGCATCTCTCCCGGCTGAGACCTGGCGGGCTCAGCACCTCTCCCTCTAGGAGGGAACACAGCCTTCCCCGGGGCTGGTGCGGGGCAGTCCCCTGGCAGGCCCAGGGCGCCCCTGCGTCCCCAGCCCTCGGGAGCAGGTGCCCGGCCAGCCCTGCCGTGGGGACAGCGCGACCAGGGAGCTCCTAATTCCATGAGGTGTCCTCCCAGGCCCTGTACGGTCGCCCTGCTGACGCCTTCGCCCCGCCCTCCCCCAGGGCAAAGGGAGGGCCTGCCAGATGCTACAGGTGCGGCTGCCTCTGGTGGTTACGGGTGGGGGTCCCAGTGACCCCCAGCACCCGACCCCGTCCTGAGCAATAAGGAATCCCACTGGCGTGGGCTTGGGGCCCGGGGAGGATCGCTGGGGGCAGCTGCCCGGGGTCTGCGCCCGCCTCGCCCTCGGGGACCCCTGCTCCCCTCTCCTACCCCGGACAAGAGCACCTAATTCCCTGAAGAAGACCCCCGACCTGCAGCCAGAAAGGGGCCCTCGCAGCCAGTCCTTCCCAACGCGGGGCTGCGCGGGCGGGCGGCGGGCGCGGGGCGCCCCGGAGCACCAGACAGGCCCCGCCTCTGCCCTGAGACGGACTCGGGGTCCGGAAGCACCGGCGGGGCGGCGAGGGGGGCGAGCCCGGAGCGCCCCGACGCCGGAACCACGACAAACATCTAGCTCTGTACAGAGGGAAGCTTGACGTATAAATACCATTTCTTACAAAATTAATAACAATAATAATAATAAACAAAGGGGCGGGCCCCCGAGGCGGGCGGCCGTCCCCCGCGGGGCCCGGCGGCTAGGGCGAGGCAGCGGCGGGCGCTGCGGGCGCGGGGGGCGCGGGACCGCCCAGGCCCGCCCGCTCCGGGCTCCGTGCGCCCGGCCCCGCCTCGGGCAGCGACTCCTCCGAGTCGGTGCGCAGGTCCTCGTCGTCCTCGTCGTCGTCGTCCTCGTCATCATCGTCCTCGTCCTCTTCGTCCTCGTCCTCGTCCTCCGCCTCCTCGTTCAGCTCCTCCTCGTCCTCCTCGTCCTCCGGGGACGACTCCCCAGCCGCGGGGCCGGGCGCGGGCGCGGGGGCGGGGCCGTCGCGGGCCGCGGGGCCGTCGGGCGGGCCGGGGTCGCCCGCGTCGCCCAGCTCCAGGCCCAGGCCGGCGGCCCTTTGCAGGAAGAGCAGGGAGCCCGCGGGCTCGGGGCCCAGCGACAGCGAGCTGTCCAGGCCTCCGGCCGGGCCGGGCGCGGGACCCTCGGGGCCCGGCTCGCCGCGCTCCTGCTTCTCGTGCTTGCGCTTGTGCGAGTCCATCTGCGACATGCCCACGACCGTGTGGCGGCAGCCGGGGTAGGTGCAGTGGAAGTGCGAGCACTTGAGCTTGTACTTGCAGTCGGGCACGGCGCAGTCCGCGCTCGAGCTGAACTGGCAGAAGCCGGCCGCGCTGATCACGTCCTGCTTGCCGTGGTGCTTGCGGTGCGCCGTGACCTTGGTGCTGTCGGTGCAGCGGAAGCGGCAGCGCAGGCAGTGGAAGTGCGTGCTGGTGCCCGAGAAGGGGCAGTCGGCGAAGTGGCAGCTGAGCGAGGCCTTGAAGCGCTTGAAGTCGTCCAGCACGAGGTTGTCCACGCGGTCGTGGTGCTGCGCGTGCTTGTACATGTGCGTGCGCCCGCAGAACTTGTAGCCGCAGTTCTCGCGCGTGCAGTGGTAGTGCGTGACCTTGAGCGAGAACTGGCAGGCCGCGTCCTTGCAGTCCTCGTAGAGGTCGAAGCGCCGGAAGCCCTCCAGCATCATGCCCTCGTCCAGCATCTTGCGAGAGGAGGCCGTCTTGCGCCGCTTCCCGAACGGGGACATGTCCTCGATGATCCAGAAGCGCTTCTTGGCCCCTGAGGCGGTCGGCATGGAGATGGTGTTCCCTGGGGAGGGGCGGGGGAGGTCAGTGCGCTGCCGGCACCGTTCCCAGGATCACACCCACGTAGGTCCCAGTCTGGCAGGGTGGCCAGAGGGCAGCATTTAGGGACATTCCTTGTCTCCCGTGGCTGTGTAGGGGTGGCCTCCCACTACCCCCCACCCCCCCCAAAGCCCGGAGCCGGGCTTCCCCTTGCGTCATCATGTCTGCAGGGTGACCGCAGGCGTCTGCCCCGGTGCAGAGCGAGCGGCTCTGGGGATGTGGTGGCTGCTTCCTGGCCGGTTTGGGTGGGAAGTGAGGGCCGTCCTGGCGTTAATTGAAGCTGAAGGGGGAATCTAGGTCGGAGCGTAATTACTCAAGTTGGACGGGGGCCAGGACGCCATCACGCGTGGCCTCTAACGAGGGTCAGGCACCCCTTCTCTGCTGCTAGCCAGTTTCCCTGGGGCCCACCGGTCTGCGTGTGGGACCGCCTACTCGCCAAAGGGATGCCAAGCGCCCACAGGCTGTAAGTCCTTGCCCAGGAGAGCACCAGACAGAACCTCCTTGGTACCAGAAGGTTCTTTAGGTCTTGCTGGGGTTCTCCGCCCAGTGAGCTGGGAGAGGCAGTTCTGCTGATGGCTGAACTGGAGCCAGCCTCAGGCGGTGGTGGATGGTGCCTATCTGTGCCCCCCCCCCCCCCCCCCCGGCCCCAACTGCCTCCCATTGCCAGGGCTGTCCAATCGACTGTGGTTGTGCCCCGTTTCTGGGGGGCACAGCAACCCTCAGAGCTGCAGCGGGAGGGGAGACCAGCCCCTTGGCTGCACAGTCAGGGGAAGGGGCAGCAGACCTGTGCTCCCTGCCCCACACCACAGAAACAACAGAGAAGCCCCCAGGTCTAGCCCACGGGGGCGGGGGGGAGGTGTGGACATCCTCCAGGCTCTTCCCACACGGCTTGCCTGCCAGACCCCCCTGAACCTGCCTGGAATGCCAGCCTCCATGGCACCACCCTGCGGCACTGTCCATTTGGGACCCAGTCACCACCCTTAGCAGGGGAAGAGACACCAAGGATTGCAGTGAGGTGGGGGCCCTGGAAGGACAAGGGAGGGCCTGGGGTCTGGAGAGCCAGGTGGGTGAGGAGGGGCTACTTTGGGGGTGAGGTCACGGGCTCCATCTGGTTATGCCGGCAACTGAGCTTTTCACTGGCTGCATTCCACATGGGGAACCCCCTGCCCCGCTCTCAGCCGTACACTGGGGCTGGCACTCAGGTAGAATGTGAGGCGAGAATGAATGGAGGGAGAGCCGGTGACAACTCCATCAAGGGGCAGGGGAGGGCAGGTCCCTCTGTAAGGAGCAGCAGACACTGGGTGGGCCAGGAGGCAGCTCTGCCATTGCGCCCGGCGCGGGGCTTGGGCACAAATGCCCCCTCTTCCTGCTTGGCTCCACCGTTGAGGGTTCAGGCTGGTGTCGGGACGCTCAGAACCCCGAGCAGGTCCCAGGCTCCCGCAACCTTCCCAAGAACACCTTCTGCCTCCCTGTGCCAGGCGCCAGGTGAGCTCCCAGGCCCAGAAGGGCCAGGCTCTGGCCTAGGAAGCTGGGGGTGGGGCAGGCACAGCCTCTTGGGGCTCTGGCCAGTTGCGGAGATGGGGTGAATCCCAGGGGACCCTGGTGGCGACCTTGTGCCCTGCCCAGTCTGAGCAGCAGCTGAGAGGAGCGGACCTCGGGTGAGAGACTAGGCTCTCTGGTCTCGAGGGCGCTGGGGTGTGAGGGGCAGGGGATGTCCCTGTCCTGGGCCCAGAGGCCACAGAGAAAGGCTTGGTCCTGAGCCCCGGCCTTGAGGGTTGGCTGGGGCGACAGACACTAGTGAGAGGGCACGTGTGCGTTACCTGCAGCATCCTGAACTAGGGGGACGTCACTTTTTACTGGAGTTGGAGTGGCAGTGACAGGCGGGAAGCTGGGCTGGCTGCTGATGGGGTGGGCCAGGCCCCGGGTGGCTCCGAGAGTGGCACTGAGCAGAGAGTATGAGAGACAGGGTGGAGAGAAGAGGCAGGGGAGGGCGGGGAGGGGCGCCCGGAGCACGGCCGGGGGGAAGGACGGGGCCAGTGGGGGCTGCGGAGCCACGCGGGCAGCCTGGTCACCGGCGGAGGCAGCAGGAGGAGGAAGAGGAGGAGGAGGAGGAGCCGGGCAGCCTGGAGAGGGTGGAGAAAAGCAGAAAACAAAACAAAAACACACACACACACAAACAAAAACAAAGAAGAAACAAACAAAAAAGAACCAAAATGAGAAACCCAATGGTAGAAGCAAGTATGATATGAAAATGTGTGGACAGGTGAGGAGCAGAGAGGTGCCACGGAGAAGAGAGGGAGGAGGTGGCGGAGACAGACTGGGAGCGAGGCAGTGCACGGGCTGGGCGAGGGCCTGGGACCCAAGGACCGTGCTGGGGCCAATGGCAGAAGGGCCAGAAGAGGTGCCAGGGCTGGGTGGGGCGGGCGCCTGCCTCGGCCCTGGGTACTCCGGCCTGCTCACTGGCTGGGGCCTAAGCTGCTCTATTCCATGGCTCCAAGCCTGGGCCGCTCCTGGGAGCTGAGACCGAGGGCAGATGCTGGGGAGTGGGCAGGATGGCAGCCGGTGGCCTCAATGACCCACGTCCCAGACCCCTGCACACTGGCCTGCCCTCCTTTGAGGCCACTTGGCCATGAACCTCCTGTCCTAACATGGGCTCAGCAGTGCTGGCCTTGGGAGGAGGGGTCTGGCCGAGGCCGGGAGCTCCCAGGTCCCCTCTGCCCTCCGGGCCTGCCCCTTGCCCGCTGTCTGCTTGTCCCCGGCGGCCGCTCACCTGCGGCTGTGCTCTCATTGCCCACGGGGGTGCTGGAGCAGCTCCGGTCCATGGTGGACGACTCAGAGGACACGGCGCCCGGGCTGCAGCCGGTGTAGTCCATGTACTCATCTGTCTCCGTGTCCATCAGGCTCGGGGGGCCCTGAAAGGAAGCGGGGGGCCCTGAGAAAGCTGGGCTGTGGGCAGGCTGTCCGTTCAGGCGGCGCGGCCCACCGCCGGGCAGCGGGAGCGGGACCCTGGGTGGACGAGGGGCGGCCTGCGGGCTGGACCCTCACCTGGGAGGCGGGCACGCGGTCGAAATTCTTCCCCAGCATCCTCCGCATGTGCTTGCGGGCGTGGGAGGTCATCTGGTGCTTGAGGAGGAAGGAGAACTGGCAGCCCTCGCGGATGCAGTGGAAGTGGCTGTTCACCTGGTTGTACTTGCAGCCTGTGGGCACAGCCCCCTCGGCGTGAGCCTCCCCGGCCAGCGCTCAGGGCACCTACTGCGTGTCAGGCACTGTTCTGGGCACGGGGAAGTGTGGCCAACAAGGCAGATAGCATCTGGCGAAAGGGCACCGTCCCCGGGGTGGCATTCCTATCAGGAGGGCCTGTACCCCACCCCACCTCCAGGAAATTAGGCCACTGGGCTGTCCAAAGCCAGGGCCTCCCCTCCAGCCTAGCGTAGAGGCACGTGACCCCCGTCCCCTACCCCAAACCCTGAGAGGTCCGTGGGCTCCAGGGCAAGGGGCCCTAATGACCTGTGCACTAGATCAGCCACCTCCCAGCGAGCCACCTGTGCCCTCGCCCCGATGGGGAGCCCGCGTGCTGCCGGCCCCCAGACCTTGTTTAATGGCTGCAGCTGGCTGGCCCTCGCCCTGCCCCCTCCTACCTCTGCTTTGCTTTGGGCTGAGAACAAACAGAACAGGCGGGATTGAAACAGTATCAGCAAAGGGCAGGTGAAGGCCTGTCCGTTGCCATGGCACCTGAGCTGGCCAGGTGTCTTATATCATCCCCCAGCTTTGTTTGGCCCCAGCTACCACCCCAACACCCCAAGTTGGGTAAATAACAGCAACTACAGAATCCCCTGACACCTGCAAAGTGAGCCCAGGGCCGGCCCAGGCCACCCCGTGTTGACATCTGTTGCCATGGTTACCAACCCTCTCCCAGGCCATGGATTCTTTTTGAATTAATACGTGAAGGAAAGGTTTGTTCTCAGCCTTCCCCTATGGAAGGGCCAGTCAGCAGCAGGCAGTGGCCCCACCTATGCTCCCCCAAGTCCCTGCTGCCATGACCACCTGAGTCACAACAGGGCTCGCCCACAGAGCAGGTGTCTGCCCAGCCTGCTGGCTACCACCTGCCTCCAGGCTCCAGTCCCTTCTTGGGCAGATTCTTGCCCCACCGCTGCAGCCTGTGAACACCAGGCGCTGCCCTTCTGCCTGCTCGCCCTGGAGGCCCCTCCCCAAGGCACCCCCAGGGCAAACTCTGGGAAGCCCGGTTCCCGGGCCAGGGGACAGCTTCCCTGCTGGGGGTCCAATTCTCGGCAGCAGAGTTAACACGCAGGCACCTCCTGCAGAGCTTGGGGCCGTTTGTGGCCTCCTCTTCTCAGCCCCATGGCCACTTCCCTCTGGGTCACCCCAAGTCAGAGAAGCTCTGGGCTTAGCCCCCCGTGCACGTGCTGTCCACAAGGTTCCTGGCACTGAGCACAGTGCCGGCCACAGCAGATGACAAAAGCACTTTGGCTGCTGCTGCCTTCACACCCCCCCCCAGCCCTCCCAGCCCCCCCTCGCCCCAGGGCCTCCTGCAACAGCGTAGAGCCTGGAACATGGCTGTTCCCAATGAACCTCTGCCGAATGAATGAACGAACCACTGAACAAACCACGGCACATGTTAGACAAAACCCTCGCAGCTGAAGCCATGGACAAAGATGCCAGGACAGGAACCTCGGGAGCTCCCCACACTCACTGGGAAGCCCTCTTGAAAGGCAAAGAGCCCGGCCGGTGTGGCTCAGTGGTTAAGCGTCGACTTACGAACCAGGAGGTCACGGTTCGATTCCCGGTCAGGGCACATGCCCGGGTTATGGGCTTGATCCCCAGTAGGGAGCGTGCAGGAGGCAGCCGATCAATGATTCTCTCTTGTCATTGATGTTTCTATCTCTCTCACCCTCTCCCTTCCTCTCTGGAATCAATAAAAAAATTTTTTAAAAAGAGAGAAAAGAAAGAGAAAGAGAAAGAGAACCAAGTCCAGGCCTGGACACCTGATGAGGGCCAGGCGCTTTCCCAGGTGGGCCTGTGCTCCAAGTCACCACACCCCCTTCCCATGGGCTCCTGGGTTTTGACGGTTTTCCCAGTTTGACAATGCCTGGCTTGTGATGTCTGTGACATTTTTAAACAAAATACGGAGCCTGATGTGCAGGGGCAGGAGGTAGGTGCCAAGAGAAGGGCCCCAGGGGCCAGGGCCCCAGCCCCGCCGCCTGCTGCACGTCCCCGCCCCTGCCCGGCCATCGGTACCTAGCCGGCCGCACTCCTCGCGCTTGGTGAAGTACTTGAACCCGTTGGCTGCCCGCCGCTCAGCTTTCTCGTGCTTCTTTATGTGCCACGGCAGCTTGGTGGTGATGTTGGTCACGAAGTAGCAGCCGGTCCGGAGGCAGTGGTAGTGGCCGCGCATCCGGAACTCGCAGTGCTGCAGGGAGGGAGAGGGGGGTCGGGCCGGGTGGGCAAACTCTGTGAGTCCCACCTGCCCAGGCCTGTGGGCGGCAGCAGGCCCCTGGCCTTCGTGTTCTTCCGTGCTCAGAATCCGAAAACACAATCGGGTAAGGACCTTTCACTCGCTAAAAGACAGTCCGCCCCTTTTTGCCATTTGACTAAAACAGTGATGGCGAACCTTTTGAGCTCGGCGTGCCAGCATTTTGAAAAACCCTAACTTAACTCTGGTGCCGTGTCACATAGAGAAATTTTTGGATATTTGCAACCATAGTAAAACAAAGACTTACATTTTTGATATTTATTTTATATATTTAAATGCCATTTAACAAAGAAAAATCAACCAAAAAAATGAGTTCGCGTGTCAGAGGTGTCATAGGTTCGCCATCACTGGACTAAAACATCCTGCCTGGTATTGAGGGCATCTTTCTCTAGACCCACACCCAGAGCAGACATCACTCATCTATCCTGGCACTCTTCTCTGTATGCCCAGACCGAGGCAGACATCACTAATTTATCCTCGCACTTCCCCGTCCCCAGATCTAGGTCCGGATTCCTCTAGAGGTTCACCATGAATCTGACCTGCCCTTCCCGTCTGGGCACGGACAGCTCAATCTCTTTATGTGTCCAAGGCGCCTCTTTTAAATCTAGGCCTTTGGGGAAAGGGAGCCTCGCTAGTTCCAGGAGGCGGAATGATGCCAACGTCACCCCTGAGGCTTAGGATGAAATGACAGACTTCACCAACTAGCACCAATCCGAACCGCTGCCCAGGGCCGCCAGGGCCCAGGGGCAGACAGTGTCCTTTCCAGAATCTGAAGGAGGACAGTTCAAAGAGGGCGTGAGGAACAGCCTCTGCCAGGAGGGGTTGTCCTGGGGCCGGACCCTCCCCGCAACCTCCCTGCCCCGCCCCGCCTCCCCCTCCACTGCTGACCTGGTTGGGACAGAGACACTGCAGGGAGTAGTAAGCGAACTGGTCTCGCACGTTCACCAGGTTGTTGTTGGGGTTGATGTGGTCCAGGCAGTGGGACTCGGCCTTGCCGGAGGTCTTGCAGACGTACTTGCAGTTCCCAAAGAGACAGTGGAAGTGGAACTTGTTGGCATACTTGCAGTCCGTCGCCAGGCAAGGATCGCTGGAACGAAACCACAGCCCAGAAGGTCATTGGCATTCCCGGTGCCCGCCCCGCTGGTGTCCTGCCATTTGCCCATGTTGGGGTTCAGCTCCCCAGTCCCTGGTGGTGCAATCAAAAGGAATGGCCCCTGGGCTGCCCTCCTGCTCAACAGGATGATTCAGTCTGTGGAGACTACAGATCCCAGCATGCATTCTTGCCTTCTTTTTGGAGCTCTGAAGGTGCATAAGGGATCACAGTGTGCAGGCTGCCCAGAGCATTGCATGCTGGGACTTGTAGTTTCCACGGCCACACCTCAGGATTACAGATAAGGATGTCTGCAATGACTTCTTGGATATGAAAATGAGGGATGGTGCTGCCAGCCCTGGCGGGATGCCAGTGAGGCCTGGCTGTCATGGCACAGGCAAGGCCCTGGATGTGGCTGACTGACAGGGTGCAGATGGGCGGGTAGCCCTACCAGGAAGTGTGGCTACCACGGGGCCTTGGCCAGTGGGAATGGGCACCTGAGGTCAGGTCCTGCTGAGGGTCATATTTGCTAGGACTCCCAGGTCAGCTGGGGGCTTGGGGCACCCATCTGCTCACAGAACCTAGGCCAGCCGAGTGATGGGGCTGGCAGGGCCGGAGGAATGCCGGGTGGAACCCCCGTAGCTGGCCTGCCCTGGGAGTGGCAGGCCCTGCCCCGGAGCTGGGGGTCCCCGGCTGCAGACAGGCGTGGAGGGTGCTGCACTCCGGCCTTCTGCCCTGGCTGCAACTCGGCTGCCCCCACATCGGCCCGGTGGGAACTCTGACCAAGTCTGGAAAACTTGGGGGGCTGCCGCTGTGGGGAGGTGAGTGGGGGAAGGGAAGCTGGGGAGGGACGGAGACGAGTGCAGGTCCCCTCCAGGCTGTGGGCCCAGCCCCGGTGCTCAGAGAGGGAGGACAGCTGCCACTCAGGCGGTGTATGTTCACATCCAATTTATTACTTTTATTGAGAACAGGAAGCCGCACACATCATGATACAGAGTCACCGTTCTCGCCGCAAGTAGCCACCACCGTCCAGTGAGGAGGTCCCTTCCCCCCCTGGAGCTCAGACCCGGTGCCGGTGGCCGTGGGCCTGGAGTGGGGCCCAGCCCTCACCCCCCGGGACCGAGGCCTTCGCTTGCCCTGCCAAGGCTCAGCCAGGCCGCGAGCTGCCGAGGAGCCCACAGGTTGCCCAGAGGGAGGGCAGCCTTCCCCGCGGGCAGGCCTGCCACTCCGGCCCCCTGCGTCGGTCCTTGCAGGGTCACCACTGGCCTCTGGAACAGCGGCCACCACCACCACCATCTCCCCGACCCTGGCCACCTGCTCTGGGCACAGGAAGTGGGTCAGAGCAGCAGCATCTTTGGCTAGAAGGACAATGCCTGATGACCGGGTCCCAGAGAGGCCGGGGACGGCCAGGGCTAGCTGCAGGCCGGGCAGCAGCGCCCTCGGCGGTCCTTGCCAGCACCTACTCCCGAGACACGCGGGGGACACAGGACTCCCGGGTCATCGAGGGACTCACTTCTCCTGGAACTGGAGGAATCCGGGTTTGACCTGGGGCTTGGCGTTTTCTAGAGAAGTCGTTGCCAAGGGCGAAGTGGGCAGGTGAGGCACTGATGTTGGAATCTGAGGCATCTGGGGTATGGTGGAAGCCAGCTGCTTCCAGGCGAGCAGGGTGGGGGCGGAGGGCACCGCGGCCAGGCTGGGAGTGGGTCCCTCCAGAGAGGACACCGTGGCCGTGGTGACGGGCGGTGCCGGCGGGGATGAGGGGGCCAAGGAAGGTTTGGTCTCAGCAGCCGAGGTCGGGAAGGAGGCCTCCGCATTGCCTTTCGCGGCTCCTCCCTCCGTCCGGAAGTGGAAACTGCAAGAGGCAGAATGGGGGTCTCAGGTGTGCAGTGGGGGGCCCCCCCTGGGCAGGTCCGCCCTCCCCTGCTGGGCGGGCCTGGGCGTGGCAGGCCTGCCTGTCTCAGAAGCCCAGTGTCACAGTGTCCCCATGTCACTCCCAGTGCCAGCCGCCGCCAGCAGGGAGGGGCTGAGCGGGAGCTGTGCCCTCCAGTCCTGAACTCTGGCTTCTGGCTCAGTCCTAGCATACCTTCCTGCCGTGACCTCTGTCCCTACTCCTCCCCACATGGAGGGGGCTGGTGGACAGCAAGCCCTGGCCTCATGAAGCCCATCCTTCCAGAACCTGCTCCGAAATTTAAAGGTGGGTCTTGGTATTTAGTCGCCTCTTCTGCAGACTAGCAGCTGGGGCTGCGTAGCAGTGAGCCTGATCCGGCGCAGGGAGCAGGGATGAGCTGTTTGAAATGACTGTAAGTTCTGGGTTCAATTACAATAGGCGCCGGGCTTGCTGCTTTTCAGCTCAATGGGTTTCACAAATTAACTTCTTTATTTTTAGGTCAAAGAGAATTGACAAATGCAATGTTTGGGCTTGGAAAGGCCTTCTCCGGGGGTCCCTGCCCGGTCAGAGCTGGATCTCTGCAGCTGGCTCTGCAGGCAGCGCCTGGGGTGGGGCTGGGGCTGCCCTGGGCCTGGTGAGCTGGGAGGACAGGCTGGGTTGAGCCTGGGAAGCATGGGGAAGCCTGCATCTGAGAAGAAGCCAGCGCAGCGTCTGGGGTCTGGTAGGAAATGGACATGGGTCCTCCAGCCCCACGGGGCCCCGAGCCGAGCATGGATAAATACATGGGGCTGGGTTTAAATGGGCCCCTTCCTGGGACCCCAACTCACTTGGCATGCTTGATGGCCCCGTCCAGGGTGCTGAAAAGGGCGCCGCACTCCTCCACCACGCAGTGGAAGTGGGCCTTGTGAAGGAAGTCACACTGGGCGTCGCAGAAGTCCTTGGTACCGAACCTGGCCAGGGGAGCCGGCTGGTTAGAGGAGACCCTGGCGCTCTGGTGAGGCCGGGTGTGCCGTGTGGCTGGGCGCCGGCCACCAGGACAGGTGGCCTGGCCTTTCCCTCCCCCTGGCTCTCCCCGTTGGCCCCTCACCTGCGAAGGTACAACTTCCAGGGCTCTGGCAGCTTCTCCTGAACCAGCGCCTTCGCAGCCTTGCCCAGGAAGGGCAAGGCCTCCACATTAGGACTCCCCTCTGCTTCCGTCTTGATGTTCAACAGGCTGCCGAGGTTGGGGTTGCCCTGAGACATCTGTAGGGAGGACAGGGACCATGCTTGGGGCTGGGGGGCCTCAGGACACAGACCCGCTGACCTGGGAGTGGCAGTAGCTCTGGACCCCTTGGGACTCTCACACCGACCAGAGCCGGCAGTGCTGTGAAGAGCTCTCTCTGAATGGACGCTGCCCGGCCCGGCCCTCGGAGAGGCCAGGGCTCCCGCACACACCCCGTGCCGCTGGGCCCCGGGCGGGCACACGCTCCAGCCCAGCTTTCCCCAGACTCCGCGGCTCCCTCGCTATTTTCCTGCCAGGTTTTCAAAAGAAGTGCAAGAGGAGGAGGGGTGGGGGACCCCTACGAATTTCTTGAGAACAAGAGAAGGCACACAAAGGAGGAGCAGCGAGGAGGGAGGGGGCTCCCGGGGTCAGATGGAGACAGCTGGATGCTGCTGGGCGAGGAGGGGGAGGGCGCGCGTGTGCACATGCAGAGGCTTGCCGCTTGCCGGAGGCTCCGACAGGAAGGGATGAGGGGGTGCAGGGGGCAGTGACCTAAGGAGGAAAGAGAAGAGCACAGAGCCACCAGGAGAGGGAGGGAAGGAAGAGGCACCAGGTGCTGGGCAGGGGGCAGAGGGCAGAGGGCAGAGGAAAGCGGGAGGCTCCTTCCCGGCCAAGGGCCCAGCCAGGGCTCCCGCCCGTGAGGTCTGGCCCAGGCCCGGCTCCCTCCTCAGCAGTCACTTGTGAACAGTAACCAAATTAATCTTGCTGTAGTCAAATTTATCACGTGAAGGGGGAGAATGTATTTGAGATGATGTATAATTTACAAAGACCCTGCATTATTTAAAATAAATATTCCGAGCGACCTCTGCGAAGGCGTCCGAGACCATCACTCAGCCCGAAAAGTGGGGGTTGATGCTTTGCTCCCACTTGGGGCCCCCCCCACCTTTTCTTAAACAAACAAAACATATATATAAATAAATGAAATGAATAACTAACAGCGGGGGAAGTTGGAGGGCTCCGGAAAAGCTTTAGGAGCCCTCCATCTGAAGGGGAGAAAGGGGTGTTGGAGGCTGGGATATATTTCTTCAGCCAGTTCATTAAATTAATTTGTAAGCAGTGGCTCTGAAATTATATCCGATGAAAAATGGCCTCAAAATTTAAATGGTACAAACTCATCTTATTAGAGGCAAAACATTAAAAAACAAACACATCCCCCCCACCCCCCAGCGCGGCTTTAATTTCTCCGGGCGGGGGGACGGGAGGCGTGTGATGGATGGTTCTTACCTTATTCATAAGCGAGGATAAAAGAGATGAATTTGCCGGGACTGCGTGGCCATTTGATTCATTACTGGAACACACAAACCAAGGGGCTTTAGCTCAGACGGACGTGGGACTGAGCCCGGAGCCTCGCCCCTCCCAGCCCGGCCCGGCCCTGGGGCTCCGGCCAGCGGCTGCACCTGCCAGGAGGGAGCGGACCCCCCGCCAGGAGGGCTGGGCCCCTGTGCCCGGTGGGGTCTGGCTCCCCCGAGCCTCCCGCAGGGGAGCAGAGCAGGGAGGCCCCGGCCTCGCCTCACCTGGGGTCCTTCACAGTCAGGTCTACACTGCGGTCCTGGGAGGCCTCGTGGGAACCTGGGGCACCAGCGTTCTCACCAGGCTCCTGCGTCACCGGGGCCGGGGGGAACCTGGCGGGGGAGGCCTGCTGCCCATTTCCTACAGCGGAGGGGAGGGAAGACGGTGTTAGAGGGGCTGAGGGCCGCCTGTGGGCGCCCGCCGGAACCCCCCGGAGGGCGGGCAGCGTGCCGGGGGGGCTGGGGCCCCCGGGAGCCCTGGCTGCCGGTCAGCGGTTCTCCCCGCTGACGTGATCGCCGGCGACGCGTACCCCCGTGTGGCAATTCTTCAAGTGATAATTATTGCAAAATTATGTCAAAGTTGTCCAGGCTCAGGGCCTCCTGGATGAGCAGGGCGGGGGGCTGGGGAGGGGCCGGGACGGGCGTGGGGGCCCTTCATTTTCTCCACCGACTGTCACAGCCAATTTGTGGGGCTGCCGCTTAGGCTTTTATTAAAGACTCCGTTAACGCTGAGGGGAAGTGGCAGGTCTAGACTGGGAGCGGCGCCCCCTCCGCGGGTCCCCTTCCCACTGTTGCCGGGGCGACGGCCCTGCCTTGCACTGAGCATGCCTAGGAGGGGCCTCTGCCGGGTCAGGGCGATGGGAGCTGACAGCCAATCGGGGCGGTTCAAACTATGTGACCTCGCCCGTCAAGCTGTCCGGGACGGAGATGAGGCTGGGCGGCCCCGGCCGGTGGGAGCCGTGGGGTGTGGACGTGGCCGGGCGGGCAGAGGATTCGGGAGGCCACGCCGAGAAGGGGCACGAGAAGCCGCTGACAGGCACATGTCCGCGGAGCCTTTCTCCATCGTCCCCCAGTGACTGAAATATTAATCTGCCCCCGGGCGCTGCAGCTGACAGAGAGCTGCTTCAGACAGCAAGTGGCATTTTATTAAAAAGTAAGGAAAGGGAGCCCTCTCCTCTTGGCCTGACCTTTCTTTTGGGGAAAGGAGATTTTTCTATTGAAACGGAAGCACTTGACAGTCTGGCCGCTGAGCCCAGTGTGGCCTTGCAGGAGGGGGGCCCACCCCGGCTCGCAGAGGGGCGTGGCCCCAGGCAGTCCCGCCATGTCCCTCCCGGGAATGTCAGGTGAGTCACTCCAAGCTGCCGGCTGACAGGAGCGCCCGTTGGGGACGAGACAGTTTTCAGAACTCAGGGTGTCCACATTCCGGCAGCTCTCCAGTCACTTGCCCAAGGTCCCCAGGGAAAGAGCGCCCGCCCCCTGTCAAGCACTGGCGGCCCTCGGGGGGCCTGGGTGGGGGTCGGTTCTGGGCCACAGGGCCCTCAGTCATGGCCGATCGCAAGACAGCCTCGCGGGGAAGTGGGTGCGCGGGCTCAGGAGCCGGACTGCTGGGGTCCGAGGCTCAGCTTCGCCGCCTCCTAGCTGTGCCCGGGCACAGACCAGCCCACACCTCCGTCAACCCCACAAGTGGGGCTTCTGCCTCTCTTCTTCCCTGCCACGTGCCTGGCACCGCTCGGCGCCCAGGCCTCAGCAAGCACCAGGGGTTGTCGAATGAATGAATGAATGAATGAATGAGTGAATGAGTGAATGAAGTGAGCCACGCCCCAGACCTGAGCCAACTCTTCTCAGGGATTTGACTAATGCTAATCGCCCGGAAGTGGGAAAAGGAGAGGCGTGAGGGACACAGAAAAACCAAAAAATTCCAGAGGAGAAAAGCAGAAACAATTATAAAAGAACAGGAAACGTGAGCAAGGGGAGGCCCCCCCACTTGGTGGGCCAGCGGGGGAGCTGGGGGGGGACAGATGTGACCGGCTCCCCGGCCCCCATGAGGGAACCAATGGTGAGGCTGAAATGAAAGGAATGCCCAGTCCCTGGGCTGCACCGGCCACTCCAAGCCCAGCCCTCAGCAGCTGCCTGTGCGGGGCTGCGTGCGGACAGCGCGGGTCAGGGCGTTCCCTGGTGGAGAAAGTTCTAGTGGGCGGGCCGGACTGAGCAGAGCTGGGAAGGGCACCCTTAGCCTCGGGGGCCCTCCGGGCATGAGTCTCTCCACGTGTTCCTTAAGTGCAGCCACCCGCCACGGGGCTGGACTCCTGTCCCCGCCACGCCACCTGGAGGGAACTGGGACTCGGGGACTGCGGCTGGACTTGCGGCTGGCAGGAGAAGACCAGGGCAGGGGGCAGCCAGGCACCCCCACTTCACAGATGAGGAGTCAGAAGCAAGAGCTGCCTAGGGTGGGCCGTTCAGAATGAGGGGCCCCAAGTAGGAAAGAAACAGGATGGAGGCAGAGACGAGGCAAAGAGGGGGGCTCGAAGGGCAGGGGACTTGGGTGTAGGGAGCAGGAAGATGCCTCTGCCAGACACCCCCCCACTCTGCTCTGCCACCCGAGGCCAGGGAGTTCCTGGGGCCTGCAAGGTGCTTGCTTCCTGGGCAGGGCCCAGCCTGCTCACCTGGATCAAAGGTGGCAGAGGGCTTGAGGGCGGCCGCGGCCAGCCTGGCCATCATGGGCGAGATGAGGCCCTTGCTCGCAGAGATCCTCTCCATGATGGAGGCGGGGGGCACCGAGACAGAGGCGGCGGTGGCGGTGGCGGGGGCTGAGTCACCAGCTCCCGAGGCGCCCAGAGTGGCTGTGTCAGGTGTTGCCGCGGCTGCTGCCCCGGACGACATGGCACCCATGAGGCCGGGGGTGCCCACAGGCAGGGAGGCGCTGCCCCTGCCCGGGAGGATGGGGAAGTAGGAGGCAGCAGTGGGCAGGCCCGAGTTGGAGAGGGCCAGGGCCAGGGGGATGGAGCCAGGCAGGCCCTGGGACAGCAGCCCAGAGATCTTGCTGTTGGGAGGCTTGGTGGCCCCGGGCACGGCCTCGGCGGTGGCGGTGGCGGTGGCGGTGGCCAGGGAGGCGGAGGACTGCTGGCTGGTGGGGGAGGCGCTCAGGCTGGAGTTCTTGCTGCTCAGGGCAGAGAAGTCCACCAGGTCGTCGTTGCTGGACTCCTCCTGCTCGGTGTCCTTGGCGCCCAGCAGCGAGGGCGGCAGCCCCAGCACGCCCGACGAGCGGATGTGCCGGCGCTCGTGCTTGCGCTTGTGCGAGGTCATCTGGCTGGTGGAGGTGAAGGTGAAGCCGCAGCCGGCGCGGATGCAGTGGAAGTGGTTGGTGGCCTTGCTGTACACGCAGCCCTCGTACTTGCACTCCTCGTACTTGTAGAACTTCTTGAAGCCGTCCTTGGCGTAGGCGTCGTCCTTGATGTGGTAGCTCTTGTGCTTCTCGATGTCACACTTGTTCTTGAAGGTGAATGTGCAGCCGGGGCGCCTGGATGGGACATCGGGAGCCTGTCACGGGGCCACGTGGGGCCGGGAGGAGGCCCCGCCCTGCTCCCACCAGGCGGGACGTCGAGGCGGGGCCTCTGAGCCGCCCTCTCTGCTGTTCCTGCTCCTGTGAGGACGCAGGGCCCCGAGCTGCCCCTGGGGCCTGGTTTCCAGCCCTCCGTCCCTCCCCGAGGCCGGCGAGCCCCCCTGGCCAGCCTCCCGGGTGGGTACCTGCAGTGGAAGTGTGTGGTCTTCTGCCCGTAGAACTGGCAGTCGGCCGTGCCGCAGTCCTCGGTGGCCCGGAAGCGCTGGAAGCCGTCGTTGATGAGCTGCGTGTTCTTCTTGTGGAAGTTCTCGTGCGTCATCACGTCCGACGTGCTCGTGTACACCTTGTTACAGCCAACCTGCAGGGGTCGGGTGGCTGTCAGGGGAACCCGGGCCAGGCGCCCCGGGCAAGGCCAGAGCGGCTGTTCTGATGGGTGCAGCCGGAGCCTGGGGGCCTGGGCCGCTGGCCTCCCTGCTCAGGGCACTTCTGCGCCTGTACACACCCAGCTGGGGGCCCGAGGGTAACTCAGGGAGCACACAGAGAACCCCTCACGACCCGGCAGGCCTCAGGGCCTGGCCCTGCCTGTGCTGAGGGCCGTGTTGCCCTCTGGGACCCAGGACAGCCCGGGCAGAGGCCTGGGAGCCCCTTCCCGCAGGGGGTGGGTTTGGAGTTCCAGTCTGTGGCTCCACCTCTAAAGCCCCTAGGGGTAGGCAGGCTGGACCGGGGGCCTGGCGGTCACCTTTAGCCCAGGGACGCGCTCAGCGGCAGGTTCCTGGCACAGGGCCCTCCCCTCCCACCCCAGCTGGGCCAAGGCAGGCAACGTTGCCATATCGAGTAAAAACCAGTGGAATCTGAACACCAGCGAAGGCTGGGCCGTGCCAGTGTCTGCACCATCTCAGAGCCCAGAGAGCGAGCCCCCCTCTCCCCCGGGCCCAGGTTGTCTCACGGAGGCCATAACAACCCCCTGACAAATACCGGGGGAGGCACGGCGGCTGCTATTTGCAACCCAAAGTCGCTCCCCTGGACCTGACACCTTGAAAAAGCCCAGACTCTGCGTGGCATTAAAACAAAGAATTAAACAAAAACCTCCTCAGGAATCATTTGCAATGCCGCTCTTGGTGTTAAAGCCTGAAAAATGTCGGTCTGTATAAACAGCTCGCTGAATTTCGCCCACACCAAGTATGGCCATGGGGAAGGCCCCCCCTGGCCCACCAGCCGCTGCCTGAGCCTGAGCCCCCAGGACTCGCCACTTGCCCCCCGTCTCCCTGTCCTGGGACCTGGGACCTGGGATGGGAGGAAGGGAGGCTCCCTGTCGGGGGTGGGGGCGGAGGGCACCTGCATGCAGTGGTAGTGGGTGCTCTTCCCGTTGAGGTGGCAGCCGTGGTAGTAGACGCTGCAGTCGTCCAGCGGGCTGAAGCGCATGAAGCCGTGCTGCAGGGAGTTGTCGCGCTTCTTGTGCATGTTGTAGTGCCGGATCACGTCCTGCTTGCTCGTGAACCTCTGCCGGGAGAAGGCGGGTTGGCGGGAGCCTGGCCTGCCGCCAGAGGCCAAGGGCGCCAGGCCAGCGGCTGGCCCCAGGCCCCTCAGGCGTCCCTGTGAATAACCCTGCGTGGGGTCCAGGCAGCCCAGACTGCCCCAAGGCTGGCACACGGAGCCCTGGAGGGAACAATTCCAAGGTTCCAGAACCACAGACTCTGCCCTGACCTCCCCTCAGGCTCCCGACAGCCATGCCCAGGAGCAGAGAGGATGAACTGGACCAAGCCTCCAAGGCAGGGGCTCGGAGGGACACATTTTGCCCAGAGCCACCGAGGGGCTATGCCGGGCTGGGCTCCCTGGCGAGGCAAAGGGAGCAGCCCCTAGGCCAGTGACGGCGAACCTTTTGAGCTCGGCGTGTCAGCATTTTGAAAAACCCTAACTTAACTCTGGTGCCGTGTCACATATAGAAATTTTTTTTTATATTTGCAACCATAGTAGAACAAAGACTTATATTTTTGATATTTATGTTATATATTTAAATGCCATTTAACAAAGAAAAATCAACCAAAAAAAAATGAGTTCGCGTGTCAGAGGTGACACCATCACTGCCCTAGGCAGACTGCCCTTACCCCCATCACTTTCACCAGCTCTGCACTCACCAACGGGTGACTTTGAATAGAAGTGACCATGGACCTGAGCCTCAATGTTATCATCTGTAAAATGGGGCAGTAATGCCAACCTGATAATTCCCTGGGAAGATCAATTAGGTAAGGTGCTTGGGCTCTAGCACAGTCCTTGGTGCAAGGCAGACGCCGTATATGGGCATTTGAATTATTAGCACCAGGTTGCAGATGGCTCCAGATCCTACCAGATGCCTGTGGGCAGGGGTCTGGGTGCATGGACAGGCCAGTGGTTTTCTGGCCTCTCTGCCTCCCTGAGTTAAGTCCAGGCAGCCCGGGCAGAACTGAGCTCCCATCCCACTTCGGAGAGCTCCCGTGGCGGTCGGCACAGGAGCAGGCAGTGCCCGAGGGGCCTTACCTGGTAGTTGCACTCAGGGTCCAGGCAGTGGTAGTGCTCGCGGTACTGGTAGGCGCAGTGGATGTGGCCGCAGTGCTGGCTGCCCGAGAACCTGCAGGGGAGGGGTCGGCTCAGACCTCTCCGGGGCCAGGCCGGGGGACTGGGCCTAAGCAGCCAGGAGGAGTCTGTGCCTGTGCCGCAGAGAAGTGCCGGGCCCTGTGTGGGGATGTGGAGGGCAGAGGTGGTCCGCAGGGGTGGAGGGGTGGAAGCCTGAGGAGGCCAGGACAAGCAATTGAGCCCATCAGGAAGCCTAGAGCCATCTGCCCTGGGAGTCCCTCTGCCCTGGGAGTGAGTGCCAGGGAAGGCACCAGGCCTGGCACCAAAGTGGAGAGGAAGGAGCTGGGGCAGCCAGAAGTCAGAGCAGAGACGGAGCAGAGATGGGATGGGATGGGATGGGATGGGGAAGGCAGGAGCCCCCGACTGCCTCTTGTGCAGGTGCTGCCGACCGCCCAGCACTGGGCCAGGTGCCGGGACCCCGCTGAGCCGGGCCAGGGCTCGATTGCCGAGAGATGCTAGACGGTTCTTTCCTGGGCTTTCCTGACACTTGAAACGGCAGAGCTATGAATTTTTAACGCACAGCATCTGTTTGGTTTCCCGAGGCGGGGAGCTCTCTCTGAAGCCAGGAGCCCCAGCTGCCTGGCCACTGCCCGCCTCCCTGGAACCCCAGGCCGTCTCCAGGCCACGATGCTGCCGGGCGTGGCTCTCCCAGCCCCGGGGACGGCCGCCCTGGGGAGAATGTGCCATGACAAATGGGGAGGAGGTGGCAGGCTCAGCCCGCCTGCCCGGCCGGCCGGGAGAGTGAGAGGAGGCCCCCTTGTCAGGGGGAGAACCACTTGCAAATAAATATTTCAGCTGAAGCTGCCAAAAGGGCCATCTGCTGAGGCGCTAATAATAATGATAATAATAATAATAATAATAAAGAGAGCAGAGCAAAGCTGGAAAGACAGAGAGGGACGGGAAGAACCTGGAAGATCAGCAGAAAGGCAGCTGCCGGGCACGACCCTGCCATGTGCTGCCCCGTCAGGCGCTGGCAGCCAGGGCCCTGATTTGGGGAATCTGTTGAGGGGAAGATTACCAGCCAGTCCTGCTGCCTCAAGGATGTAACGGGGCAGGTCTGGAGTCGGGGTGAGGGCCAAGGCCTGGCCCGGGGAGCGAATTCTGGCCAGTTCCAGGGGCCCACACCCACCCAGGGCCCCGTGTGAGCTGTGGAGGGGCTCTACACTCACCTGTGGCCAGGCCCTGCCCTTGGGCCCCTTCAGGTACCCCGGCCAGCCTGGGGTACAAGCTGTGGCCCGGGTCCCACCCCGGGGGCAGGGCCTCTGAGATGGGGCAGGAGTGTATGGGGATGGGGAGGCACCTTGGCACTCATGGTCGTATGGACATATGGTCCCAGTCCCCAGGCATTCCTGGTGCCCCCCCACCTGCTCTCCGGGGCAGTCTCCTCCCCAGGGTCCTACCTGGCAATATATTTCTGGTAAATGTTTACATCTTCGGTGACAGCTGGCTTATCTGTGGGTAATCCGTTCCTGGTGAGAGACACAGGGCACAGCCGATTAGCGGACAGGGGGTGGCCTCATGCCCCAGGAGCATCCGGGAGGCAGCTCCCTGCCCTGGGGCCTGGCCCTTTGCTCCCTTGCTCAGTGGTCGAGGCCCTCAGGGTGGGACTGAGCGAGTCCCATGGCAAACGTCTGGCTTAGATTCAATGAGCTCAGACCCAGCCAGGAGTCCGGAGTGGCAGGGCTGGGGGGCTCCGCCTCGGGCACGGGCCTGGCCTCGTCTAACCGGCAGGAGCCTCAGAAGTTAGGCCTGAATCCCCTCACACCCCGGGAGTCAGGAAGCTGCTGGCTGAGGAGGGGTGCCAGGTACCCCAGGGATGTCCCCAGAGGAAGGGGCAAGACCGGCACCAGAGGGCAGGCAGCTCCCCAGATCCGCTCCCAGGTATGGCCCCATCTCGGGGGAGAGGGTCTCATTCAGCCCCACCATCCGTGACCAGTCATCTTACCATTGGCTGGGGCAACGGTTTCAACCTTTTTCATCTCAGGGCACACACTGACACAATAAACTAGGTATCGCTTTGATTCATTTCACACCACGACTACTGTGTTGGCCGTTGTCATTTTTTTATTTGACAAACTCAGGGAAAAGAGGTCAGTGCTATTGCATGTTTTTAAAAATTCTTGGGGCGCAGCAGCTAAAAACCACTGGCCCGGGGGTTAGGGCTGAGTGTGTCCCCTCCCTCCCAGCCCCCTGCCTTCTCTTGCTGCCTTCCCTGTGGCCCAGGCTCTAGACCCAGGAGCCATGGCCACCAGCTTGGACTCCAGAACCGCCACCCCCTCACCCCCCCGACTTCCCTCAGGCTGCATTTGGGCCTGGGGGTGGCAGGAGGGAAAGCCAGTTACAGGCAAACAGGGTGGCAGGAGCCTGTGGTATGTGTGTCAGCAGGAAGCACATGCACAGAAGTGCCCAGTGTGAGGTCTGTGTGTACAGCAAGACGTGTAGTGTGTGGGCCTCTGAACTGGGCATGAGCGCTCAGGCGGGCAGAGGGACACGCGTGAATGTGTGTGTGAGCACACACGTGTGAGCAGCACATGCGTGAGAATCCTAGAGTGTATGAGTGCAGAGCAGATGTGTGTGTCCACAGACATGCGCTTCAAAGTCAGGGCCGTGGCCCGGGGGCAGGCAGCGGGGAGGGGCGTGCCTTACTTGACGGTGGAGACGGTCCCCGTGGTGATGGAGTCTGTTTTGGAGAAGGTCGACTTCAGGTACTCGGGAGTGTTGAAGGGCAGGGTGGCAGATGGCTCGGGGCCCGGCCCAGCGGCGCTGGGAGCACTGGGCACGCTGGCGAGGGGAGCAGGAGCCAGGCTGGGAGCGGGGGGCACCTTGGCAGGGCCCGGCTTCTGGATGGCCCGGACGTCGTACTTGGAGGGGCGCCCCACCTTGCCCGTCTTGAAGGCGATGGCGCCGCCCATGTCGGGGCTGCCCTCCCCGGGTTTGAAGAGGTGCAGGTACTTGACGTTCTCCAGGTCGTACTTGGACGGCTTCTTGTAGGTGCTCCCGTTCTGGGGCCGCAGGTTCTCGCCCGTCTTCAGTTTCTGGATGAAGAAGTCGTACTTGGAGGCCCGGGCCACCAGGCCCTGCATGGGGACGGTGCTGTGCGAGGGCAGCGGCAGGATGGTGGCCTTGGTCTCCAGGTGCGCCGTGTGGCTGGGCAGCCGCAGGCCGGGCAGGGGGCCCAGGGCGTCCTTGCCGGCGCGCTCCTCGGCCTTGGTGCCGTGGGCCGGCCAGGAGAGCTGCTCGCCCGCCTTGAGCTTCCGGATGTACTCCTCGTACTTGGAGAAACGCGCCCGCTTGCTGAGGGCGTCCTCCCCGGCGGGCAGCGCGGAGGAGGTGGCCACCTCGGGGGCGGAGCCTGCGTGCAGCTTCTCGAAGCTGATCTTCCTGGCCAGCTCGTCCCTCGTGTTCTGGTCGTCGTAGCCGAACATGCCCAGGAACTCGGTCATGGTGGAGGCCGCGTAGTCCCGCAGCGAGGAGGCCTCTCCTACGGCAGAGAGCACGGCGGTCACCTCTGGGAGGGAGCCGGGGAGCAGGGGACGGGAGCCCCCCCAAGGGCAGGAGCCCCCACCCGCAGAGGGAGGGGGCTGGTGTGGGGAGGGGCGGAGCGGGACATGATCTATGGACATTTGGCTCACTTGTTAGGTTTTACGACTCTTAAATTAATTTGTTTAAAAAAAAAGTAATTAATACTGGGGTAAAATAAAACGAGTTCATCAATGCCAGGAAAATCAATTTCCTAAATGTTCTGGCCGATGGCTTTTCAGTACATTAAACAAAGTTTCATAAATGTCTCCGCTCTCGCCTTGGCCTAATATGAAGACGAAGCCATTTTACTGGAAGTAAGGCAGAGCCCAGCCTGCCTCAGGGGTGGGGGGACAGGGCCGGCCAGGTGGGACATGGGCCAGAGGCTGAGGGAGCCTCCGTGGCTGGGGTTGGGGTGCGCCTGGCTGAGCCTGCCCGAGGACCCTCCCCGAGCCCCACAAATGGACACACAGGACCTTACGCTGGGAGGGCCTGGCCTGGTGGCCCCGCCCAGAGCCCCTGATTCCTAATGATCCCAGACACAGCGCTGAGGGCAGAGAGCCTTGGTGCGCTCGCTTGACTTGTGAGTCCTCTGGGCACGCGCTCGTGCACAAGGAGGCCACCCGCGGAGTCGGGGCCAGAGAGGCAGCAGGCCCAGGTGTGGCCCATCTCTGCCCCACCCGAGTCCACGCCAGGGACACAGAGAACCCGGGCAACCCCCCACAGGGAACCATGTGCACACACGCTTGCCATCGGGCTCACACCCCGGCCCCCTTCCCGACGTACAGACACACGTACACAAACCACCCAAACGCACACCCAGCTCCCCGAGACTCGTCTCAGGATGCGGAGGTCAGATGATCCGACCCTCCCTGGGGCTCTTCCCTGGAGACCCCGCCCTTCCACATACGACCTTCCACCCCTATCAGACAGGTGACCCCTCGGCTCGCACAAGACACTCCTTCCTGCGCTGAACGCTGGCTGAACCTACTATGTGCTCTGCCCGGAACCAGGGGTGGGTGCACACGGGAGGGTGAGACCCCCGCAGGCCCCAGGGGACGTTCGTGTTCTCCCCTCTTGTGTCAGAGCCCGCACACCCAGGCACACTCAGCGTGTAGGGCCCCAGGCTGCGGGGCCTAGAAGCAGAGTCAGGGGAAGATGTGGCCAAAGACAGGGTGGGAGGCGCAGGACTCTGGCCGCGTAGCAGATGGGGGTCTCCTCCCGATCCTCACGCCAACCTGTGGGGCTGGAGTTCTCAGACCACACCTGGAGGTGGTCTCGTAGGGCAAGACTGGGCTTGGGAGCAAGAGAAAACCCAGCCAGATGTGCAGGGAGAGGCTCTGAGCTCCGAGGGCGGGGGGTAGAGGGGAGCAGTCCTGGGAGGACTGGGGACCCCCCCAGGTGAGGAGGAGACAGTTGTGGGCAGCACCTGAGGCGGGCAGAGTGGCTCAAGAGCGGACAGACAGCTGTCCCCCTGGGGGTGGGGGTGGGGCAGTGGCCTGTGGGCTGCTACTGTCCTGACCTTAAGCTCCGCGGGGCCGGGGCCCAGCCTGGGAGGAGTGGGCTCTTGCTGTCAGATTCAGTGGCTCAGGGACCAGGGAAAGGGCCTAAAAATAGCTGGAGGCAGCTGAGCCCTCACTATATATGGCAGAGAGACAGAAGGCTGTGAAGGGCAGGCGGCTAAGAGCAGGGAGGGGGCCAGGCCGGGGCCCCACAGGCCTGGGCCCAGAGAGGGCGGCCGGGGCCCAGCCCGTCGTGGGTTGCTCAGCCCTGGGCTCTCTCGTGGCCACACCGGAGTCCCACTGGGCCTCCAACCAGTGGGGTGAAGCCTGGGCCATGAGACTACTGGTGTTTCCCGCCCCGCCTCCTGTCACCGGCTCTCCACTCCCGGGAGCACAGGAGGCAGGAGGCAGAGGTCCAGGCGAGCTGGGCAGGACAGAGCCGGGTGTGGGAGGGGCTGGGGCGCTGCAGGGACAGAGCCCTGTCCCTCCCCTCCCTCGCCTCCCCTCCCCTCGGCCCCGCGCAATCACCTTGCGTCTGGGAAAGGCAAGGGCTTTTCCTATCAGAGGAAACTGAAGGTCACACTTTTCCTCATTGATCTTGCAATGTTTGTTAATTACTCTGTCACTGATGTGGCGAAGGATAATTAAACAGCTCTGTTTATATCTTATATGCATAATTATGTGGCTGCGCAGGGCTCCCCGCGCTGGGAGGGGATGTGCCCCTCACTGCAGGGGGAAGGGGGCAGGGGCGCGGGCAGGGGAGGCTCGGCACCAGGCACAGGCCTGGGAAGGAGGCTGGGGAGCTGAGCGAGACCCCAAATCCTGGGGTTCCAGTCCTAGGGGTGACCCCCTCCCTCCCCAGAGCAGAAGGAGTTCAGGGCTGCTCCAAGGACAAGGAGGCATCAGCCACAGCCAGGCCTCTGCCACCTCGTGGAAGAGGTTGGCCAGAGGACACGTTCGGGGCAGGCAGGTGTCATGGGACATCCGGGCTGGGCCACCCTGAGGCCCTGTGCCCTGTCTGAGGATGGCTGGGGTCCCCGGGAGGGAGAAGGTGGGGGCGGGGGAGACAGTGGGAAACTCGTCAGGGAGCAGGGAAGGGACAGCGGGCGAACAGGCCTGTCCGACAGCCGCGCAGAGAAACCTCCCGGGGAAAGAGCCTCCGGGGACAGCCCGCGGGCGCGTGTGCTCCCGTGGCCGTGTCCTCCACCCGGCTCTTCTCTGCACACGCATGTAATTGTCTACCCACACACTGTCCGTCCATCCGCCTGCCTGTCCACCCATCTATCCCTCCACTCATGGCTTCCTGAAGACCCACTGTGTGTTCGGCAGCCGCCACGCCCAGGCCCGCTCACACACTAGGGAAGCTGCCTTCTCAGGCCCGCCCCCTCTCACCCCTGGTTTCCCTCGGATCCCTGCCCAACTGGCCTCCCATTCCAGACCGTAGCTCTGCCCCAGCCCCTCTCCGCAGGAGTCCTCCCTGGGGAACTCGGCGCCAATATCTGGAACAAGAGTGAGAGGAGCGGGCATGTTCCATGGACACACCCCTCCTTCCCGCTGCGCCTCCTCACCAGGTGATGCCCGTCCAGGGCTCCAGACACCCACCTGAGGGCTGCTTGGCACTGGGGCCACCGCTGTCCTTGGAGGCTGCCCTGTCCGCGTCCTTCTGGGCCGCGCCATCCTTGGGCTCCTCGCCGTGGTCCTCCTCGTCGCTGCAGCCCCGGGGCTGCACCATGTACACGCCCTCGGGTGGCAGCTCCAGGCCCTCGCGGGCGGGCCGCCCCGGCAGGGGAGCGGGCGCCGGCTCCTCGCTGTACTCCCCGTTGACCCACTTTTCGATCACTGCCCGCCTCTTGTCTTCTTCGCTGCGGGGGGCCCGGGCCCCCCCTGGCTCAGGGCCACCGCGCTCTTTGTCCTGGGGCCTCAGTGGGCTGCCCTCCGTGTGGGCGCCGGCCTCTGCCCCCTTCTCCACCACCACCTGGCGGCTCAGCTTGGCGCAGATGGCGTTGAGTTTCAGGCCGCCTTTGCGCTTGGCCGCCATCGCGGGCTTGCCTGTGGGCGGGTCGGTGCACCGGGTGCCTTCAGCTGCAGAGGGTGGAGAGAGAGGTCAGAGGTCAGGCACAGCCACCCACCTCAACAGCCGGGGCTGGGGCTCTGCCCCCAAACCCCGCAAGCCAAAGGTCCCCCACTCTGTCCTGAGACTGCCCGGCGCGCGTCTGAACCCCTCCTAGGCTGAGCTGTGCAGGGCTCAGCTCGCCCATCGCTCTGTCCCGGGGCCTGGCTCTAAGCCGGGCACGTGCTAGCCGGTCCGAGGATTTTGGAAATGGACGAAGGAAGGAACAACTCCCCCCACACAAGGGCAGTCTTCTCCCAGCACTGGTTCCTGGAAGCACTTCCTACCCTTGTCTGGCCCGAGACACCTCCTCTGAGAGGCCGGCCGGTCCGGCCCCCGTTGGTATAAAGGACGCAGGCTGAGGGCTGGGCGCGGGGCAGAGCCAGCAAGACGAGCAGCCTGACTCCACTTGTGAGCGTCTACCCCACGGCCCACTGGTGAGGAGGCCGCTAAGAGCCAGGGGCAGCCGGGCAACCCCGTGCCTGACTGTCCCAGCAGCCCTGGCTGGCACCTGTCCCCACGGGGGCATCTCATCCCAGGCTCTCCTCTGCCTGGCCCGCCTGGTCCCTGGGCCCCGCCTGAGCCCAGCCTCTGCCCACGGGGGAGCCCGAGGACCTCTTCTCCAGCCTCTCCTGCCAGGGTCCTCTCGGCCCCTCCCTTGTCTCCTCCGGCCCTTTCCTCCCACCTCCTCCCCCAGCCCTCAGCCCTCAGCCCAGGGCAGAGCTCCTCACAGCCCCTCTGAGGCCACTTGTCCCTGCCGAGGCCCCGGCTCTGCCCTCTGCCTGGACCCGCTCCTGCAGCCCTGGGAGGCCTGGCTGGTCCCAAGAAGCCCACTTCCCAGCTGAGAAGGCGCAGCAGCAGTGCCTAATCCCCAAACCCGACTGCCCGACGCCAACACCCCAAAGTCTAACGGAGCTGCCTGCCTGCTAGCCACCTCCCACAGCTGCTGAGCAGGCTGCCCAGGGTCCTGGTGGCACATGGCAACCCAGATCCCCATGCAACCTGGGAGCGGCCTCAAAGACCAACAAGGGTGCATCTGTCTGCCTGTCCGTCCGTCTGTCCATCCACCCATCAGCAGAGCTGCTCCTACTGTGTGTCCCTGTGGCAGAGCAGGGGCAGGGCGGTGGCCACGACGGACACATGGTGCACAGGCAGCCCCAGCGAAGCGTCTCGATGTCAGGACTCCCTCACACGTCCCCCAACAGGAGGGGGCATGTTCACGTCTCCACACAGGTCAGAGGCTAAGCGAGGGGAGGGGTCCATGCTTAGAAGAGGCTTTGCCAGCCACACTCTTAACACCCCCACCTGGGGCCCCCCCAAGAGGCGGTCAGACAGGGATGCCCACACCTGTGCCTGCCCACAGGTAGACCTGGCTTGTACACATGGATGACTGTCCCCCACGATTCAGGCGATGCCCCGTGACCCCAGATCCTGGCCCTGAAGCCAGCTGCCTGTGTATGGCCTCACTTGGCCCAGAGGGGCCCGGGGATCCGATCCCAGCCCAGCCCAGCCCAGCCCAGCCCAGCATCAAGGACAGGTCGGCTTGGCTCACTCCAGTCCTCCCAGTCCTGTGGCCCTGGCTCTGCTGGGCCCCACCCTGGCCCAAGCCGGATGCCCACTCTCCCCATGTTTGTCCATGTCTCCAAGTCTGTGCTGCCCACACCCAAGTCTCCAAGCACCAACATGGGGCTCCTTCTCCAAGCTCAGTGATGGGGCCCCTAATTGCACATCTCACCCAACCTCCGGGCCGGCCGCCAGGCTCCGTGACACCAAGTTTCCTCCAGCCGCCTATGGCGAACAGAATGGCCTCACCTGGTCCCCGCTGTCCCCTGCCCTGGTGGGGACGGGGAGGGTGGGCGTGGGGAAGCCTGCTCTATTTTTACTGGGAGGTAAGCAGCCAAGTGTGTATGGCAGACGGCAAATGAATCTATAAATATTTATCCCGAGGAAGAGGGAAGCAGAGGCTCCCAGGGCTGCCCTTGCTGTTGGTGACACCCCCTCCTTGGGCCCCCACCCATCCTGGAGCCTCCCGGCACTTGGGCCCACCCAGCCCTGCCCACCCCTCTCCCAATCTCCACTGTGCGCCTGGCTGGGTTCCTCCTGGGCCCCCACCAGCTGCGATGCAGCTGTGTGCCCAGGGCCCACCCCCCGCCTGCAGGCCCCTTTGCTCCACCTCCACCCCCTCCACCTGCCCTCCAGCTGCTGCTCTGCCCCAGCCCACCTGCCTTCCAGATGTTGCCCTCCCTCTGACTCTACTGTGGGTCCCAGGGGCGGAGGTGAAGAAGGCACGTGGGCCAGGGGTGCAGGGTGAGTGGCAACGCGTGCGAGGCTGGGGCGGCAGATGGGGGTGTCAGAGCTGGGGTCCAAGTTGCCTGCACGCCCACCCTCCCTCGCCCATCAGGGTCCTGGGACCCTGTAGACGACCCCCCTCGTGGTCTGACCCCAGGCTCCTGTCCATGTAAACATTCCCTGACTTTCTTCCCTAAAATATAAACGCCATGGCCAGGCCTCAATGGGAGGAAGCCATCCGTCCCCGGCCCTGTCACTGCCCCTTTCATCTCCTTCCCACCACCAGCCTGCCCGCTGCTCTATTTACACTGGACACTTCCTCTGGGAACAATACTGCCCAGGAGGCAGGCTCGGGCCAGAGGGTGGAAGGCGGGGGACTCCCGTGCTGCTCACCCAGGGACGGGCGCCCCCGACGAGGTAAGGGGCGGGCAGCTGTGTGGGCCTGGCCAGGCCTGGGAAAAGCAGGGGGCCCTCCCGCCTCAGCCGCTGGCCCGTGGCCCTGAGATGGCAGCCGGGCGAGCCCTGGGAGGGGGCACAGCACCGTGGTTACGGCCTGGCCTCTGGGGCCAGACAGCCGTGAGCTCACAGCCTGGCTCGGCCCCTTGCTAGCTCCGGGCCCTGGGCACGCGGTCTGCCCGTGAAAGGACTGCAGGACTGTAAGGAGAGAGGGTGCCTGTTGGTGCCAAGCACAGGGCCTGCCTGGCAAGCAAGGGCCTGGGGAAAGGCAGGCGAGTCCTAAGAGGGGAATGACAGGCCAGTGTGGTGCCACACCTGGGCAGGAGATCCTGAGGCCAGGACACCTCACCTGGCCGGAGAGGTGGGGGAGGAAAGAGCCGCTAGAGAGCAGGGCTGGGCAGGCGCCCGCTCAGTGACGAATGGCCGCTCCCCGGCTCCCGGGGTCTGAACCCTCCCTCCCGGGCTCCCAGCTCCACCAGCCCCCGGCAGGCAGCTCTGTGTCTGACCGAGTGGCTCCTGCTCAGGTGGGAAAGCAGGGCCAGACGGCGCTGGCCGTGCCCTGCCCCGCTAGCTCCCGATGCCTCGGGTGAGCCCGCGTGGCAGGGGCTGGCGCGGTCCCCTCTGCAAGGGAGGAAACTGATCCCGGAGCCGCAAGGATACGGAGTCCACGAAGGCCGGGCTCAGCCAGGCGCCGGGGCCGCCAGGAGGTCCCCGAGAAGCCACTGGGTGGGCTCCCAGTCGTCCTGGGCCTCCGTGTCCTCCCCTCCTCACCCCACGCCCGGTTCCCAGAGCACAGAGCCCCCTAAAGCGTTAACTGCGATGGGTAAAACGGTGCAGCAGATTGCCACAATAAATAATTTACTGATATTTATAAATATTCAAATCAGCCAGCTTCAGAAATCCAGTGAAGGGAGGGCCCCGGGAGAAGGGCCCATGTTGGCAGGAATCGCATCACTCCCTGCACAGGCTGGGAGGCCAGGCTCCTGCCAGTTCTGGGGTGAGGGGCTCCGGCACCTGGGCCCCTCATCCTTCTCTCTGGGGACCAGGGTGTTGGGGTGGCTGAAACGCCTCCACCTCCTCGCCTGGTCAGGGCCAGGCCTTCCCCGACCCTGGGCTCCAGGGGACCAGGGCTCAGGGCTCAGATCTGCTGGTCCTGACAGTGGGGGGCCGTCCCCAGGGGCTGGGCAGGCCTCCCGCCCGTGAGTAATGCGTTTTGAGCCTGGGCGGCCTGTCAGCGACCAGGCTCTGGGTGCTTTATGGGCTCTGCCTGGTGGCTCTGCACTCCCTGGTAGGAAATAAAGTTCTCCCTGCGCGTCCCTTCTAAACATTTCACTCAGTGGAAACGGTGTTTAAGAAAAATGAGGACATATTTCTTCCTAAGGATGCAGTGTCCCCTTTGGGCGGCCTAATGCCCGCTGTATATCAGGAGGTGGTGAGGCAGGGGCCAGGCACCGTCCCCGGGGTGGGGGTGGTCCAGTGCCCGCCTGTCTGCGTCCGGGCAGCACGGGGACCCTGGGCACCGTGGGGTCACCTGGTGGTGGCCCTGGCCCACCCTGCCTGGAGCGATGCAGTGGCTGGCACCCGCTGAGCACCTCCCTGGCACAGGGGACGGTGCTGAGCGCTTCCCCCAAGGTCCCCACATGGCCACTATCCTGTCCATTCCAGATGAAGGGGCAGAGCCAGCGAGGCTGGTAACTGTCCATGGCCACCCAGCATTCGTGCTGGAGCCAGATTCCGACTACTGAACTCCGACGTCCAAGGTCACGGTCTGAGATCTCCCCCCACCCACCTCCCACAGCCTCCCATCCAGGTGGAGCAATGCAGGGGCCTCCGCCCTGGGACCCCCATGAACCGGGACTTGGCGGCCACAGCCTGTGCCTGTGGGTCTGTGCCTGTGTGTATTCACGCACTGCCCTCGCAGGCCACCTTCCACAGGCCAGTCCTGGGGGCACGATGCCAGCAAGGCCGACTGCCCTGTGCCTGCATCCTGGGCTGTTTAGTTAATTCATCTACTTGTGTATTGGCTTTTGTGCATCCTCACCCCAGGACATGGTCCCATTGATTTTTAGAGAGAGTGGAAGGGACGGGGAGAGACGCAGAGAGAGACATCGATGGGAGAGAGACACATCGGTTGGTTGCCTCCTGCATGCGCCCCAACCAGGACCGGGGATCGAGCCTGCCACTGAGGTACATGCCCTTGACCGGAATCGAACCCGGGACCCTTCAG